ATAGGGGGCTGGAGGAGGTGACGGAGATAGGGAGGGAGGGGATTTGAACAGGAGGGTGAGGATTGTAGGGGGCTGGAGGAGGTGACGGAGATAGGGAGGGAGGGATTTGAACAGGAAGGTGAGGATTGTAGGGGGCTGGAGGAGGTGACGGACATAGGGAGGGAGGGGATTGTAGGAGGCTGGAGGAGGTGACGGAGATAGGGAGGGAGGGGATTGTAGGGGGCTGGAGGAGGTGATGGAGATAGGGAGGGAGGGATTTGAACAGGAGGGCGAGGATTATGGTGGAGGGCAGGTTAGCGCTGTCCTGGAGCACCTCACTGATCTGTCTGAGAGGAGCCCACAGTCTCGGTAACACCAGTCCGACAGGTTGTACAGACAATTATCGAGTGCTTCCCGTTTCAGCTCAGTTCCTCCTGCTGCTCTGGCAGGTCAGTCGGGCCTCTTCCACACCCTCTGCAGGCTGATGCAGCACTTCGTTTCACGAGCCCCGTGGCTGTTCTCATCCAGCAAACCCGACAGCCAGTGTGTGCACAGCAAGACCCCAGGCGTAGCGATGACCGATTCCCACCAACAGTGATCCACCGGTTGGTGCCTGGTATCAGGTGCTGCTGCCCACCCCCAGTGCATGGCCCCTCTGCCAGGGTGGCACGACACACTGGGCATGGGAGCCAGTTCAGAAAAGGTTCACTCAGCTAATCCTGGGTACGGAGGGACTGCCTGACGAGGGAGAGGTTGAGTAGGTTGGGTCCGTCCTTGTTGGAGTTGAGAAGAATGAGAGGCGACCTTACCGAAACGTGCAGGATTCTTAGAGGAACAGAAACAGAAGGTGCTGTCGATGCACAGCAGGCCTGGCAGCATCTGCGCAGAGAAAGCAGAGTGAACGTTTCGGGTCCACTGAACCTTCTTCAGAACTGACCGTAGCGAGGAAGAGGGAGGCATTTATGCCGAAGCTGGTAAGGAGTAAGGAGTAAACAATAAGCGCAGGTAGATCCCAAAGAGTGAGAAATACAGCTGGACGGACAAAGAAGTCGGAAATTGTCAGCCTGGGAGATTGAATAGCACGGTAGCTCTGTGGTTAGCTCTGCTGCCCCACAGAGCCAAGGACCTGGGTTCGATCCCACCCTTGGGAGACTGTCTGTCTGTCTCTGTGGAGTTTGAACATTCTCCTCGTGACTGTGTAGGTTTCCTCCGGGTGCTCTGGTTTTCCTCCCACAGTCCAAAGGTGTGCAGGTTAGTGTGGATTGGCCGTGCTAAATTACCCATAGTGCCCAGGGATGTGCGGATTAGGGTGGGTTGGCTGTGCTAAATTACCCATAGTGCCCCAGGGATG